GACGTGGATGGGTGTGTGGATACACCGGGAGAGGTTTGCCATGATTTGAGTTCAAGTACTAGAATTTCATATGAATCCGGGGAAAGGTCGGCACATGCAACGCCGCCGAATGCCGATTTTAGAAGATTCGATGGCCACCGCTGTGCACTCAGACACTCATGCCGTAAGATACCGGTACATTAGTACATTGTGCCGTGGAGTGCTGTTGGTGGTTAGTGGCCTCCGTGCCGCAAGATGCCGGCTCTCCATTGGGTTGTGCCGCCGGTGCCAGTGGCACTCAGCGCTCGCCGTCCAATGCCGTTGGGTGGCGGGACTTTGCCGTTCTAGTGGTAAATTCACTTACTTAGTAAACCCATTACTAAGTGCGCTGTCTGTAGAGGTATCTGCTGCCGTTAACGCTAACGGCAACTTATGGCATTGGGGCCGTGCCACGGCTGCCGTTAAATAATGGCCTGGGCCACCAACCTCTAGTCGGCATGCTCACAACATGCCGCGAGGGCCGAGCATCGTGAGCCTAATTCCTCCTAAAGCTTTGATCCCGACAACATTATATTATGATCCAAAGGGTATAAAAAATTTTAACCATCAGTTAAATCATTATATCACTGTTCGCCAGCTGAGTTATACCATCAATTGGCTAATTTTTTGATTAGTCCCATTTATTGGCCACTCGAACATCAGCCAAACTACGTCACTCATACTAAAGTAAACGTTATTAAAATGCAGTCATCCCACCCTGTCAAGCTAGGAGAAAGCTGTGACTGACCAGAGCTCGGTTTTAGTTGTATTTCAAACCCCTTTTTGGATGTCTGAGACATCCTGTCTCAAGTCTGCAAATTCACCCATCCATCATGCAGCACTTGTATTGCTTCATGAGTCATGTTTCATCATTATATTGAGTTTCAGATGGTTTCAACTCTCCCCGTGCACCATGCCCTGGCACCGCTTGTCGCATCAATCACAGTTACTATCTAGTTCAATGTACTATGGAGTATTATTGAATGCATAACTGTCAAATCATCTTGGCTCATTTTCTCAGTGGCCCTGACTCATTACTTGGCGTCGCCTTGCCATACCCTATCTTGTAAATCCATTCAGAGATCATCTAAAGGAGGCCTTGTGGCGACTTGCCCTAGACCTGTAATAGTGTTCTTGAGAGCAAAACAACTATTCTGTATTTGAGATGATTATTCAAACGCCGTTCATTCAGGGGCATTCTTTTCAAAGCATTTCAGGGCCGTCTTTTGATTGCACTCGCCAATGCCATAATCAGTCACCATTGCAGTTGCCAAGGTATTGGCGAATCACTATAATATTCAGCCAGCTTCCCTTCACCGTGCATCCTTGCTCTTTTCATATAATATTCCAGATGTTGATTAAATGTTCTCCAGCTACATTTTTATCCTTAATTATTGCCATGAGTTGGGCAGCATCTCTCTTGAAGATGCCCACCTTTCTCTTTCTCTTATTAGCGAATATCGCAGCAGCAATGCTTGGATGCTCTGGTTGTGTTGCTTTTATACTTAAGCAGCTTTTAACCACTTTCTACTAAACTCGCCATAAGCTGGCTTCTGACGGCCACAACAGTTTGCATATCCTTTGAATTGCATGACCGCATGACTTCAGGTCCAACACTCATAATAGGTCCATATTAGGACGGTTGTCGTCGATGCCTTATATCAGAACCAATGTTCTCATTATGTCCAATCACTTTCATTCGTGTCGAGCTGCAGATCTTAGAGCTGAATTATGCATAAATCCCAGCAGCGCCATCTTACATCTTATGCCATTGTTGTTGATCTTTAGATGTTGCCTACTCATCAGCTGCCATTCCTTCAGTCATTCTGTTCATATCGTGTATTAATGAACATAGCTTCTGTTCATGTAGTTCCTTGTTATCCATGGTAGTTCCTTTCATGCATGCTTTGCTCATCTGATTCTTTCCCATGTGTCCCGGCGACATCCCTGGGCAGAGTGCTTCAGCACAGCTTATCGATGCCTGGAGCTGGTAGCCTTTTCTAAGCCAGATTTCTTATAGAGATTGCAGTCACGAAATCCAACATTTAAACAGTTGTCGAATCCAAAATCTCGGGTCTGCTTTCAAAGGGAAACATTCGTGGCTGTCAAACTCAGACTCCTGGCGCTGCGTTTTCTCAAAAAAGACATGCCGCCCCTCTTGAAAATTCTTGTCATTCGTGCTTATGAACAGTCGAGCTCCAGTCCGATATCCTCCATACTTTCACAAATGTGTTCATAAACGCGTTCATAAATGCGCGGCCTTGGTGGCATTGCGGGCTGCGTTGTTGTTTCTTCAGTCACCTTCCCACGGCCATTGTCCAAGCATCATATCAATCACCACGAATGTAAAGGCATGACGACCTTTTGATGCTTTTCAATATGCCGCTTACAGGAAATATTAGCAAATCTCCCCTGCGCCTTTTTATATAATGTATATCTGTTCTTTTCATCTCAACCTTATCTGCTTTTTCCATTTTCACCGTGACTAGCTGTTAATTGTGGCCCAGTCGGCCGCCATGTGTCAGCCATGAGCCCGCCTTTAATGTGCCGGTGCTCATGACTAACGGCAGTTTTAACAGGTGGAAAATGGACAACGTCATTGTGAGTGGTCTTGCTACTCACTGCCATAATTCACCCTTAAACACATCTTGGAGCTGCACACATGCCAATAGGGCCATTGCTGTAAGACTATGGAATTTGTGCTGCATAACCCTGATGCCCTGTTGATGATATCAACGTCCATTTTTGCATCAGTCCACGCTGCTAGTGTGGATTTATTCCTTAGGTATGAATGGTGCCTGGGCGGCCAGAAGCTGGCAGGGCAATGCCTTGGGATAAAGTGCTTGACCGTTCGAGTGCGTCCCCTTGCACCTATGGCACAAGGATTCTCTTGTTGCAACTTAGGGAAAGCACTCCTTAACAGTTAAGACAGACTGAAAGTTGCATTCTTGGTACAGATGGCTGCGCCAGCTGCAGCTAAACGGCAATGTCACAGATGTGACATGAGCTGCAGGCATCCACAAGCGCTAGGTGCTTGACTTGCAGCTGGCCTTTTCTTCATTACAGCCCACAGTGATGTGTTGGTTGTTATTGTGCTTGTGCACACAACACACTCAAGCCTAATCGAGCGAGCAAGGAAGCATTCTTACCAACATGTGGACCATTAGAAAATCGGTGGACAGATGATTTGATGGAGGAACCATCACCACAAGTCAATCCCCTTGAAGGCACGCACAGGATGGCGCCATCAACTGGATGATCGACTGGACAACTAGACAAAGAATGAATATGAGATAAACACAGTATTGACACTACGGCATACCCCGGCACACTTACATCGCTCCCATGTCTGGCATTTCAAGCACTGGATCCCCAGCTATCTCACTCAAACTTGACAAAAATGCAGGCAAGAGCCTAAAAAATTTCCCCACTGCTTGAATTGCCAACTAAAGGATTCTGCTCCCGTTCTAGGTTTCTTACACTTGCAGCACTAATGGCTTCGGCCAAAAATCAAATTCCAAATGACCCGCACGACGCTGTGGCAGTGCGAGATGCCCCTGAGGAAACAAGCAATGTTTTGGCCGCGCAACTTGGAGCCACCTGGCGCCCACGTCCGGCGAGCGAGGCAGCCGCGGCCAATGCGACCCCATGATTCCCTTGTGCTTTCCACCCTGCACAAATCTATTTCATTTCTTCCCCTCCCTCGATCCGGAGCTCCGCGCCGTGCTCCCGCCCTCCCTTTTCCTGTCGGTCTCCTCTCCAAAGTTCGGCATGGGACGCGCCCGGAACCTGGCCTTCTGCTTCTCCCTCCGCAGCCTCTCCTCCTCGACGGCCTGGGCCTTCCTGGCATTCCGTAGCTCGGCGGCCGCCTTGGCCTCCCTGACCTCCCTCAGCCAAGGGTGGAACTCCGTCTCCCGATAGAACGACCGATAGTCCGTCCAGAATATCGGCTTCGGCAACCTGGCGGCCGTCGGGGGCTTGTCGGACCGCCTGGGGACGAAGGGCTTGATCGGCCTATGCGGCGGCAGCGCCCTGAACGGCCTTCGCTCCTCGCGGCCGCCCGCGGAGCAGCAGGAGCCGTCGGAGCGCGACGACCTGGTGCTTAGGCCCGACGGCCGGGGGGAACTGGCGACGACCTTCCTCCGGCCGTCCGACGCCCCCGGCCTTACGCCCTCGGACGTCGAGGCCGCGTCCGCGCCCGCCGCGTTCTCCTTGTCGCCCTCGCCGCCACCACCGCGGCGCTCGAGTTGGGCCGCGATCCCCGGCGGGCATGCGTCGCCGGGGCCACCAACGAGGGGCCCGCAACATCCCGTGCCCCGGGGGTGCAGCATCCGCCCATGCGCGGCCGACAGCTCCTCGCGCTCCGCGTCCACAGCGGCCTCCTCCGCCTCCAGCTCAATGCGAAGGGCCTCCAGCCGCCGGATCTCCGCGTCCTCGGCGTCCGCGACCAGCCTTAGGGCTTTGACTACGTCCTTGTGGTACTTGACTTCCCGCCGCACCGACGGCGGGCACCTGGCGTCGATCCTCGCCCTCAGGTCCGCCTCAAGCACCTCCACCTCGCGGGCCTCCGCCGCGACCTTGGCCTGGAGCTCGTCGATCGCGCGCTGGCCATCCGCCCCCAGCCGCGCGTACTCCTCCTCCAGAGCGCACACCTCCCTCGACCCGGCATCCGCAGCGGCCCGCACCTCCGCCAGCAGCGCCTCCAGGGCGGCCTCCCGTTCCATGCAGTCCCGCTGCCCCACGCGGCACCGGTCGATCAGTGCGTCTCTTTGGCCCTCCAGTTCGGTGTTCATCCGCGCCCTGTGCGCCGTGGCCTTCTTCACCCTCGCGCAGCTCTCCTTCGTCTGTTCGACCTCGTCCTCCAGAACCCTAGCATGGCGCCCGTCGGGACTGCGCCCCCCAAAGGCCCTCCGGCTGGTGGGGGGGAAGCTCTTGGACGTTCTGCGCAGGTGGCGGCCGCTGGCGGTTGTGGCGCCTTGCATCGTCAGGCAAGCGCGCCCACAACGGCAGCGCCCACAGTTCGGGGCGCCAGGTGTTAGGCCAGGTACGGGCTGGCGCACTGTGAGTCCGCCCCGCGTCACCCATCATGCGGCCGGAACATCTGGGGTGGCGAATGCGCAGGGGTCAGCGGCACGGTGCGACCTTAGCCTTGGGTCCTTGGGCCCAAGGCCCCCGTGTTGTGTTACCTGGGGTGTCTTGCGTGCTGGGAATTGCGGTGGAAGAAGCAGCGGCCGGCCAGCAGGGCTCAGGGAAACGGCTAACTCGTGGGAGGGTGCACTCGCGCCTCCTGTGGCGATTTTATGAGTACCCCGCCTGAACCATGTACCTTAAAGATTGATTGCGATATGCTAACTGCATTATAGGAAAGTCTATGCATGTTGGAGTGTTCTGCGGTGATTGTGAAGACTGTAGTTTGTGCCCTGCCCATACGACGATGAAGATACTGTATTGATGGTGCGTGCTGCCCTGAGGTGGAACCCATGAAGAATAGTGTTGCCCAGCACCCTTGAACCGGAGGTCCTGAGGATGGAAGACGACCCCATGAACCTATGACGGAGAGATGATGACGTGCCTTGTATAACCGCTGCCGAGTGCCAAGAGGACGAGCTGACCCAATGGAGAGAGGGCTCAACCTTGGATCTGAGGTGGGAAGACTGGAGAGTGAGTCACCCTGCGAGCTGCGCCTCGGCAAGGAGAATCGAACTGGATACCGTGGGTAATTGACGAGTATAGTAGAATTCTGGGTGGCAAGGGCGACCCTCGTGACTTAGGCAGGGTAAGGGTGCCATGGGCAAGGCAGCCGGTGACTTAGGACGGGTAGGTATACCTTGGGTAAGGCAGCCGGTGACTTAGGCAGGGTAAGGGTACCATGGGTAAGGCAGCCGGTGACTTAGGCAGGGCAAGGGTACCATGGGTAAGGCAGCCGGTGACTTAGGCAGGGTAAGGGTACCATGGGTAAGGCAGCCGGTGACTTAGGACGGGTAAGGATACCTTGGGTAATGCCGCCATGGATTAGGCACCCTGGGTAATGCACCCCGCGGCTTTGGGAGGGTAAGGATACCCTGGGTAATGTGTTACGGGCGTGCCGTTAAGAGGGAAGAGGTATTTCATTTGGGAATTAGTAGCCAAGAATAATTGCCACGTTTGAGACAGATTCTATGTCAACGCATGAGGAAGGAGTTTTCTGGCTGATTCTGTGATACTAAAGGCTGGACCTGTAATGAATGCTTGCTCTTTCCGCCGTTGGAGAGAGCGAGATGTTCCAAGCAAACGCCGTGACCCACTCCGCTCCCGTTTGCACGCTGCGAGGGACCCATTGATAGAGAGGGAAGTTACAAATGCGGGCTGGTACTTAGACTAGAGCGGCTAGTGTGTTGAGGCCTGGGTGGCGCACCCTGGGTAAAAGGTACAGTCGTACCTTGTATGAATTTGACGGACCTTTCAAGGAACCTTGGTAACGGTGCTGCGCCAGTACTGGCACTAGTGGCACTAGTGGCTCGGGTATTTAAAGACACACGGCTTCACTTGTAACGAACAACTACGAACCTTGGGCCCACCTCGCTGTTGTGTAAGTAACTTCCGGGGATTGTACCCCGCTGAGTGGAGAACATGCCATGCTGACAGACACCTATTGTGGGTGTACATCGCCGTCGAGTTTAGCTGGAGCGGGCGAGCGTCTATTTTGTGCGTGACCGGTTCATTGCCGGAAGATTCGCCCATCTGGACGCCATTTTTGCGGTGGTTCGAGGCTTGGTTTCAGAGCGCAGGGCGGTTTCCCGCAGGGGGACGCCACTGGGTACTGTGCGAGCGGTAAGGAAAAGCAAAGGTAAGTCAGGGTAGGGAGCATGGCGCGAAGGGGAAGTAACATTCCCTCTGACGGTGGCGAAGCCCCGGTTTGGAGCGTAGAAGATGCGCTTGAATTGAGCGCGCCATCGGGCCACGAATGGCCCCCCCTGACAGTGGTTAGGAGCAGTGAGGATGCGTTGGTCGCGCGGGGAGGAAGTGGGGAGTATCGCCCTCCCATCACGAATAGATCAGGAAGCTCCCTCCAGTCCCCGCCGCCAAGGCGACCGGGGGCCTACCGGCGCTTACGGGAGGAACGCGAACGAAAAGAGTGCGCGCGTGCTGTACTTCTCGAACGACTTCATGCCCATTCGGCCGAAGGGCGGATGGACCCGTCGCCTTCCGGCCCATTCGATGTGCAGGAGACACGGGAAAACGATGAAAATGAGGACCCTCGCTATGCCCGGCGGGGACGTGCGGACCACCCGGGGCATGATGGCGTTCGGAGGGCCCGGGAAGAGATGGCCCCCCAAACGGGCCCCCAGGCCAGGCGCCGATCCCCCTGGCCCGAACGGCCCGAGGAGGCTGTCCTGCAAGGGAAAAGGGGCGCCGCCATCGCTCTCGAGCGGGGCGGCGAGATAGAAGTCGGCGACGCACTAAACATGACCGCTCGCCTAGCAACGGACCCAGTAGCGGGTCGGAAAGCGGCTCACACAAGTCGCGCTCCCGTCATCGAACGGGACGTTTGCGCAAGGTGTCAGACAATCGTACACCTCGGTGACAAACTTCGCCACATAGGCGAAATGGTACGAATACATCCCCTAAATGGGGAAAAGAGAAGGGGCAGACTCGATCCCCAAGGAACAGGGGTCGTAGCCCACGACGGCTAGAGGGTCGGTCGCGAAACAAGTCCAGGGGGTTGAGGTCCCCCCGTCGGCAGGCGTCCCCATGCCGGGAACATAAACGAGGCCAACGCAGAAGGAGGGAATCCTCCTCATCCTCGGAGGGAAGTTCCGGACGGTCGACCTCATAAGATAGTTCAACGGAAATGGAGGATAGTAGTGCCAGAAAATCATACAGTAGGGAAGATCATACGCCCCAGCAACGTGGTCGCCGCCACCGGGATTACGGCCAAGATAAGGATTACCGAGCACCTCGGCTTAGCAAGTTTGACGGGCTGGCCCATTCAGAGGCCGCCGGATGGCTTAGCCAGCTCGTCCAAGCCGCCGATACCCAGCAATGGCCCCACGCCACCCGTGTGAACCATGCAGTAGCCCATCTAGTAGGGCGTGTGGGCCTTTGGGTGGAAACACTCTTGGCCAAATATGCGGAACCCCAAGAGGGTAAGGCAGGCGTATCTGAACTCACCGTAACGCATCACTGATTGACCTGGGCGAAGTTTCTGGCCAAGTTCCAAAAACGGTTTTTGGGAAGTGCCCAAGAAATGCTTCGGCAGTTCAGGGAATGGAGGATGCGGAAGGATGAGCGGGTACAAGATTATGCTGATGTGCTCTTTGCCCTCCGGCGACAAATTCACCAAAGTACCAAGCACTCCTTATCCAATACTGAATATATAGACGTATATTTGGACAGGTTACCCCAGAACATTTCGGAATTCGTGGGGTCCCACATTGATGACGATGCTTCCCTGTCCGACGTGGTGGAACGTAGTATCCGCCGGGAAGATTGGCTGCGTCAAGCCAAGAGTTACCAAAAGCGGAGAAACCGCACCTATATGGCAGACGGAGAGGACTCCGATGAAGGTTCAACAGAATCATTACAAAGAACGATCAAGAAGTTGGACCAAGTCTTACGGAAGAATCAAAAGGAACACCAGCCAGTAGAAACGGGGGAAAAAGCTCGCCGAAAGAAGCGGCTATTCTGTAATAACTGCAGTAGTGCTGGCCACAACACGAGGGACTGTGACAAAGAAAGGTCCACTAGTAACGAGGCCGAAGATGCGCATTTGGCTGTGGTCGAAGAAAAGGCGAAAGCCGGATGGAAAGGTCGCTCGAAAAAGCCCAACCAAGGGGCTCCCTCGGTTGAGAAGGTTGTGTCTTCCAGTAGCTCAGAAGAAACCTCTGAGTCGGATGATTCCCTCCCCTCGGAGCACCATTGCATGTGGGAACATAGGGATTACCGTTTCGATCCCCCACCAGCCGATATATCCGGCAAGCTCATGGGCGAAGAGGAAACGGATGGAAGTGATATACTAATGGCTAAGCATACGGCCGCCGAGGAACCGAGTGCCACCAAGCAGCAGGCAGGAACTCAGCGGGATGATACCCCAAAGGTCATTCCTCGCCGGACATCCAGCCGCCTAGCCTCTAAGGCCCCACCCCCACTGGCTGACGGGATGCCAGGAACTAGTCGCGACCTTTTGAACATGGGCCAGCCACCGACACGCCGGATGGGGACGAGCCCACACGCTCGACCAGTCAAACGACTGGCAAAGAGCCCCGGGGGACTGAGACCGTCGACCTAAGGACGGAAGCCGAATCTGGCACCCCAAGGCCCCGTCGACGGGTTGTGGCCGTACGGAACATCAAACCCCCCAAACACTATCCACTCAGCGCTTGGAGCCACATTAGTAACGCCACCCAGGCGGTACACACCAAGGACTTTATGGCACAAGTCCCCAAGTGTTGGGAGGATGCGTACTGTGGTTTAATGCTGATAAAGCCTAAAGGCGCAAAAATTCTGCAAATTCCGGAGTTGACTCCCATTGACGAGACCATGGGAGAAGGAATGGCTGAGGATAGTGACCTGGATGACTTGAATGTTATGATGGAAGCTGAGGAAGTTGATCCTCGGGGCCGAACCTCCATACATACGGTGACATAAGCTCTGGTTCGGATCGAGGGACACAAAGTCAGGGCAATTGTAGATACTGGAGCCACCCAGTGCGTCCTTGCTTGGAGGAAAGTTGAGGAATGGGGGGATTTTGTCGAATGTGTTACCCCCAGTGTCCCGTTTCCGCCTGGCGTCTGGAGAGGTCAAAACCCCTGATGACTATATCCCACAACTGAAGGTACAAGTCGGGGGCCTTGCCCTCCTAGTGGGAGCCCACGTAGTCCGAACCAAGACCTATGAATTCCTCCTGGCTGTCAATTGGCTGAAGCCAGCCAAGGCGGAAGTGTGGTTCAACAACAATACACTTACCTTCGAAAAGAAATGTGGCCGGATAGGTTCCGTTAGT